ATGTGATCAACTTATGTGTTTCCCTGCAGCATTACCAGCAATCTTTTCATTTTCAAATGGAAATTCAATTCGTTATGCTAAAGATGGATGTTCACCAATAGTTCTTCATAAAGGATTACCACCAACGTGGGATAGATTTTATAATTTTGAAAATAAAATAAACTAATTACAAGAATATTGATTAATCGATATAATAATTGATTTGATAATTAAAGAATCATTTCATTTTTAAAAAGTCAAAAATGAAAGAAAATAACTAATTTGTTTTATTATTTTCATGTGAAGTAAATATTTGTTCTAAAGTAACACCACTGTGTGAATTTTTCTTTTTATTTGGATTACACACATTTAAAAATCCTTTGTATGTATAACCAACAAATGCAAGATTCTTTGTATCTTGAGGTGATATTTTAGTATCAAAGTTTTCTTCTTCTTCAAAATCTTCAAAATTACTTGTATCAAACATAGAACTTAGTTTGGGAAGATAAGGAGGTATATTTTTCTCAATACAATTAAAATCAAATCCTTTAAAGAATGGATGTGCTTTAACTTCTTCAATAGAACTATATCTTTTATTGACAGGACAAATAAGATGATGAATAAGGTCTTTAACTTCATCACTTAAATCTAATCTTGATGGAAATTTGTAAGATTCTGGATAATTAACAATTTTTAAACATGTTTGTACTGCATCATCACTTAAAAATGGTGGAAATCCGCATACCATTTCAAATAAAATACATCCAATACTCCAATAATCACATTCTTTACCATATCCTACTCGTTCAAATACTTCTGGTGCTGTATAATCAGGAGTTCCTACAACAGAATATACTAAATCACGAGAACGATGTTTATAATCATGCATTTGTTTCATAGTAGTTATACCAAGATCTACTTTAATTTGTTCTTTTTGTGCTTTTTCAATAAGACTTTTTAATGTAATAGAAGTATCAATTCTATGAAATCCAGTACAAAGTCCAAAATCTGTTAATTTAATATGACCATCATATCCAATTAATATATTATCTGGTTTAATATCTCTATGAATATAACTCAATTTGTGAATTGAATCTATAGCAAGGAATAATTCTGCCATATAAAATCTTTGCATTTCTTCTGTAAAATATCTTCTTTAATTATAATGACATCATATCTCCTCCTCCTAAATATCCATTTACATATATAAATATCTTCATCTTGAAA